GTGACCAGACAGCCCAGGAGAAGGGTCCTCCCAGGAAGGCGTCGGCCACAGGGTGGGGCTGCCGCCAGAATGGGCACCTGGGCCAGGACAGAAAACAGGCGCGGGCACAGACCAAGGAGGAACCCAACTGTCAGCACTGGAGGACAAAGGGGCCTCGTCGGGGGAGAAGCTGACCCACAAGGAGGGTCACACTGACACCCAGCTTCTCATCTGCAACACCCACCCCGGAGGTGACAGTGCAGATTTTCCTGGCTCAAAGGAGGATGAAAGGGACCTAGCATTCCAGGCCCAGCGAGCACGGCTCAAGAATGGAGAAGGGCACCAGCGGTCTGAACTCCACGCAGAGACCCGCGGGGCCGGCGGGCCGCGGCTCCACAGAGGAACTGATCAAGGAGATGCTCCAGCAAACAGAAATAGAGCCCAGAAACAGACATCGTGAGGCCGGGAAACCATGGCAACGTATGCAGCCAGAAGCAGCACGGAAACCGGAGGAGACACGGAGTTTCCATGTGAACGTTCCCCTCGGCCGACGGGGCTCCGTGGTGTGGAACTGCAGTCCGTGCACCTGATCCGTGGTGAGGCACATGTACATTGTCACGATGGTGTAAATGCGGCTTTCTTTGTGGAGAAATTTTTAGGTTAAGCTTGTAGGGAAAGAAAGACTAATGACAGATGAAAAGGAGACTACAAATGTTTTAACCTCACCAACATAACTAAAAATACAACACAGACAAGTAACAGCCAGAGGCTGTGTTTGCTGACTGCCCTGACGAGCACAAACTGTAGCGCTGACTGGAAGGGGGGCAGGAGGTGCAGGCTGCGCACCGTGCACTCCGGGGACTGGAGTCTCCAACTCAACATGCAGCGCTCACCCAGGAAGGGCTGTGCCACTGCAGCACCAACAGGTCAAGGAGAGTGCTCTCCCAGAGAGTAAGGCTGGCGTCCACAGGAGCAGGGCCTCGGCCATCCCCGCTGCTCTCCCATGGATCGGCCCCCGGCAACGTGACAGGGTGATCTCCTTGCTGTCCCTCAGACACGTGCACTGACAGTCACGCACCACGGCCACGCTGCGCGGTGCACACACAGGACGTAGCCCGCTGCTCCTCAGGCCACAATGCGCGAAACTGCACGAGACCAGTCAAGCTTAAGATGAAGACACCACCAAGATGGGCGAGTGTGGGGTGACCAGGCTGGGACTGCGTCATGCTCCAGAGGACTCTTCCTATGGATGTGGAGGGAGGCGCTCCAACACAGCAGTGCAAATGCAGGTCAGTAAACACCAGTGCCGGCCACAGCGCAGCATCGCGGCCAGGCACTGCATCCTGTCTGAGACAGCACGTGTCACAGGGTTGCACACGGCAGCAAGCGGTCACCCTGCGTAAGGAACACAGGCGAGCGGCGCGTGCCACCGCGGCACCAGGTGATGCTACGCGCTCAGGGAGCCACTCCCGCAGCTGCAGTCTGTCCCAAGGCTGCCTGGACAGAGAACCGAGAATTGTCAGGCAGCCACTTTCCAGCACGGTGCCTGAAGAGCAAGGCCTCCCCGCACTGACACGGCCGCAAGCAACAGCAAGCTGCATCCCAGGCTGAGCTGCGTGGAAGGATCTTGTCAAAGAAACTTGGAGACACAGGACGTTTTCACCAAAGACTCGGGAGTCCAGACACAGGGCACACAGGGCTGCCTGAGACCACGTTCGGCAGCTGCCCTGGCCCCGAAGCCCTGGCCGGCGCTAGTCAGAGGACGCAGCGAGCCCAAGCAGCTACTCCCTGGTTCTTCCCACTCCAGAGCTGATACACGGCTCCTCCCAGCCAAGGCCGACGAAGTAAAGATTAACGAGCCAAAGAGGCAGGAAGTGTTGGAGGAGCGTGGCGGCAGGGGAGGGCCCCAGACCCTAGGGGACAGAGAAGGCTAAAGCAGCGTGGGCAGAGATGCCCGGAGCCTTCGCGAGGCGACACTGAGCCTGGCCCTCACCACGCTGTCGAGGATGTGATTTAAGGCCTACGTTTAGGGTTTGTGACTTTCAAATACAGGTGACAGTGACACCGATAAGGTAAAATGAACCTTGACAGCAAGAGTGACTCGAAAAGCCAGAGGGACACAGAACGCCTTGTGCTCCAAGCACCAGAACTTGCCGAGGGAATGCTGCGAATCCATAATCAGGGCTATTCCCCAAACGGCCGCTGCGAGGAGCCGCCTCCCCCAGGAAGGAAAGGACGCCTGTCAGCAGCAATCACCCAGCTCCACTCCTAGGAAGGGAACAGTAAACAAACAAGAGGCGGCGAAGCAGCCCCTGCCGCCCCATCCGTCCGCTGTCACAACTGGTCTTCTCGGGCACCGGGCCCGCAGCAGCCTGGAAACACAAGGCCCCTTGGCAGCGAGGCGGCTGTTTTTCAAACTAGCAGAAAACAAGGAAACAGCAATCATGGGCCAGAACAGAGGGCGATCCTGGGATCCCTGCACGTCCCAGCTCCACGCCACCCCGTGGGGTCAACATGTCAGCTGGAAAGGAGACGGCACAGGGGAAAGAGAACCCCATGTCTTCTCCTCAGTCTGGACGGGCAAAGTGTAAGGGAAACAGTAAAAGCAGCTTCTCATGTCCCACACCAGCTCACGGAGCACAAGGGACAGCTAAGAATGAAAGAGGTCTGTGTTTTCACAGCAAGGCTGCAGGTACCACACGTGCTCACCCTGGGACCGGCCGGTCAGTGCCTCCCAGCTTTCCACACGATGTCGGCAACACAGGAGAGGAAGGCGACCTCCTCCCAGTGCAGCTGCAGCCACTCACAGACGACCAGTGCAGACACAACTGTCTGCTGCAGGATCGCAAGGGGAAATGTCGGGAGTAAACACCCTGTTTTGCTTACAGCCAGTGTGAGGGGGCTTTTGTGCTAACCACAATCTAAGCATATGGAGAGGTGCCCCAAACATGGCCTAACAGGAAGCTGAGAAGGAATGAGGTACATTCGCGCTGGGTGTAGTGGCGCACACCTGTAATCCCAGCACTTGGGAGGCTGAGGCAGGAGGATTGTTGTGAGTCGGAGACCATTCTGGGCTACAAAGTGAGCTCAAGGACAGCCTGAATTGCATAGCCAGACCCTGTCTCAAAAAGACCAAAAAATTGGTACATGCACGGGGCACAGCCACGCATGCTCAGCAACACGGGTGCCTCCCCCAGGCCGTGGGTCACACCAGCTCTCTCCTGGGCCAGCACCGGGGCAGCTGTGAAAGTGTGAGCCACGGCGCAGCACCAGGCGGGGACACGTGCTGCCTCCAATGGACACGTAAAGGGAAATGCCATGGAACCGTTAAAAATTCAGGTAACTGGAAAGCAGCTTACAAAACAGGAAACCGCTCTGACACGATAAACAAGAATTCATGAAAAACCAGCAGCACCCCCAGGCACATGGCACAGGCACAGGCACAGGGGATGTGGCAGGCAGGGGAGCGACTCACCGGGTCACCAGCACCCGCACACCGGGCCCGGCCCACCCCCAGCCAGCAGCACCTGCAAACAGCAGACCCTGAGCCGTGTCCCCTCCCTCGGTCTCTGCAGGCCCCGCGCAGGTCACTCACACGGGGCCGGCATGGCCAGAGCTGCCAGACCGGACGCCACCCTTCCATGGTTCCACCTCTACCTGGCATCACACGCCTTCCAGGCCCGTTACAAGACCCGCAACCAACAGAGCACCGCACAGAGGCAGCAGGAAACACTGCCCCGTTTAACAAACCCAAGTCTGCGGAGGGGCCGGGGCTGGAGGAAAGGAGAGGTTTCCCGTAGTGTTTTTTGATGTAGTCAGATTCACTCCTCTTGCTGTCCCTGAGCTTTGAGTTCTAGTTCTTTAAAAGCTTTTCTTCCTCGCCCATGTTTCTAACACTGGTGCAGCTGTGCTTTTTCACAGGCCGCATTCCACCTGTTTGGGGCTTGTTCCGGTACGTGGTGCGGGGTCTGAACCCATGGTGCCTGACTGGGCAGCAGCATTTATTACGAATGACCACCTCTGCCCCAGAAAACCGCAACATCGCCTCATCACACACCAGGTTTCTGCCTAGGTCTCGGCTGATCCCTGAGCTTCTGAAGAGGACCGTTAGGCGAGTCTGCTGCGTTGAAGAAGAGGGTTTACTGACACAAACAAGGACAGCGCCACCGTCATCCGTGTGGCCCTCGCTGACCCGACACGGTCACACGGTGCCCTGTGGCCCTGTTTTCCCCAGGGGCTGGTGCTGTGTCCTGACATCTGGGAGGGCTGCTCCCCTCTCCCGAGCTCTTTCCAAGTTGTCTCTGTATTCACGCTTGTTTGGGTTTCTATTTCAATTTTAGAATCAACATGACCGGCACACCAAAAACACTGGCTCTTGCTGCTTTCATCGTTGCCCGGCGTCACATCCGACTTGTACGCTAACCTAGCGCTGACATGCTCATGCTGCCGGGACAGTCGAACCGAGCCGGGGCCACTTCTGTGTCCTCTCCAGTGCTTCTCTCATTTAGGGCTTGAGCAGATCTTATTACGTTCGTCCCTAAGTACTCTGTCTCTGCTGCTGCCATTGTTAATGGGGTTCTTTCGTCTGTAACACCTTCTTAATGGGTTTTTTTCATGTATGAAAATTACTATTGATGTTTGCATACTAATTTTGAACTTCTGCTACCTTGGGGTACCCTTTTATTATCTAGGTTATTTCTACCTTGCTTCGGGGTCTGAGCTTCCTACACGACAGCCACAAGACACAGTGCCAGGCAGCACGGAGACCACAGCGCCCCCTGCAGGACCCTGCGTGACTGGCTCTGGGCCTGGGGTTCACGTCCCCCTCGGCAGTGCTCCTTCTCCTGCCCCACACTCTATGCTCCTGTTGCTCTTGTGCTTCACGCAGCCCGGCTGTGGGCGCACTTGGGGCCCTGCGTGATGATTCTCAGCGCTGGGCTCCGTGCCCTGGCTCCTGCCTGGGTCCCCACATCAGCAGCCCCAAGTGCATCCTGCTATTCCCACCCCAGCACCCTCCTTACCTTCCTGCCTCTCGGCGCGAGAGGCTCGGCTCATAGAGAAAGAACTTCCATCTGGGGCTTGAATGACTGAGGTTTCAAGTCCTGAAAAGAGACAGATGTTTACACTCCTGAACGTCTTTTTTTATTAGAATTTCAAATGAGGAAACCCCACGTCTGAGTCATGCTGTTACTCTAGCATTCCTGTAACTGTACACCCATTTCACCCTCAGCTACTGTGTGTTTTCCTGCGCACCTCCCCAGCCCGGGCCCCTGCGTGTCACTGACATCTCTGAGCGCAGTTTGTAGAAGTGAAGTGGGCCCAAGTATTTTAGAGTTGTTGGGGAAATTCATCTTCTGTTAATGGGTTGTTTTGACAAATCCCCAAGTTCCTCAGGACTGAGACGCAGAGTCAGAACCCTGAAGTCGGCTATGTGTGTCCTTCTGGCTGGGCCGGTGCTGAGGGTGGCCTCGGAGAAGCGACGGTGGATACGCAGACCGGCGAGTCGGGGGCCAGGCTCCACCTTCACGTCACACCCATGGCGCTCCGTGCGCGCTCCACCCATTCACCGGAGCACGCGGATTAACGGTTCAGAGCGCAGCGCTGCGCACACCTCCACCGCACTGAACACAGGGTTTTGCTAATGATCAGAAAGGGCTGTAAACTCCGCACGCACCGCAGGCAGGCACAGAGTGGGCTCTTTGTAAAACCTGCGGTGGAATTTAATAAGCCTGTTCCAGGACGCAACTACAATAAAAGGAAAGAGAGGAATTCACACCCTGGGGAAGAGAAACAGAAACAAGCAGGGAGCTGCGAGAGCCTTAAGTCCTATGGTAACAGCTGAGAACCCAAGAACAACTTCACCAAGCGGGGAACCATGCACGACATCCCCCAGAATTCCCCTCCCCCAGACCGTCCAGAGCCCTTTACTGCTGCTTCCCAGCACGAGGCAACAGGGCTGCCAACCACAGGGGTGGAAAAGCACGGAGCTGACTTCACCAAGATTCCCAGACACAGGCAGACAATAGAGAAAACCCTCACCAGGTCCGGAATCCCGGGCCAGGCAGAGCAGACTCCTGGCCTTTCTGCAGGCAGGAGCGCCCTGTCCTGTGGGCCGGTTTCCCTGGCCCCAGTGCATTTTCATAAAGAAAGTCAGTTCCTGAATTATCCACATTCTCAGAAATCCACTCCCACTTCAGTCTCCCTTATCCACGGCCTCCCTTCCCATGGCCTCAGCCAGCCCAGGTCAACCACAGCCTGGCAATATTAGTGAAAAGGTCCAGAAATAAACCACTTTTCACCTGGGTACCACAGCGAGCAGCAGGAAGAAACCTCGAGCTGTCTGACTCCGCCCCGCCTGGAGGGGAGCTGTTCCTCTGTCCACACGTCCAACCTGGACCTGCCGCCCCAGCTGTCAGCAGACTGTGCTGCGCTCGTGACAGTGGCTGGCACTATGTGCCCACGCCGTGGCCCTCCCCTCAGTGCATCCTGTCATGCAGGCGCTGCACCCCCGGAGTCATCCAGAGAAGGGTGAGCAGGATGCCATCGGGGACTGGCAGAAAAAGGGACCACAGTCACATCACTGTCCTCGCAGTGGGCCGGCAAGTGCTCTGCTCTATTAGTTGTTGTCAGTATATTAGCTGTTGTTAATCGCTCGCTGTGTCTAATTTATAAAGTGAACTTCTATACAAGTGTGTACAGGAGAAGCACGGCACCCACGGGGCCCAGGGCAGCACCGTTTCAGAAACCCAGGCGGCATCGAGGAACACATCCCCGAGGACTCGAGGGATAGGATAGATCTGTATGGAGAGCATTTAATAGAGAGCATAAAGACGACACGGTGTCGGGCTTCCATCTCGGCAACACTCACGATAGCTCAATATTTCCCGAGAGCCAGCTCGTACAGTCTGACTCATTTAAAATATAATCAATTAACTGAGACCTGAGAACCTCTGCAGCTGAGAGGGAGTAGACGGGGATGAGTCGGAAGCAGTGTGAGAAAACAGAACGCAGGCTTCCATCTCCTTCCCTGAGAGGCCACGGTGAAACCCAGGCCCCTCCGAACATCAAAACCGCAGTCAGACATCAAAACGCTTCCAGAATGCAACCCAGGAGCCCCGAGGAAGAAAGCCAAGTCCTCCGCCTCACCCCACACGAGCCCCGAGAGGGCATCGCCTCCAGAGCCACGTTCAGAACCTGGGCTTCACCAAGACCATTTCCACCTGGGAGAAGGCAACCTTCTGCTCCTGTCAGCAGAGCCTGCTCCAAGACCTGGAAGAGCAGGTGGAGCTGGCTCCTCAGGTGAGCCCCGCAGGAGGCTAGAAGGAGGCAGCAAGCAAGTCTGCGGCGCTGTGGGCTCCCAGGAGTGGCCAGCAAAGCCCTAGGCCCTGAAACTCCCCTGCCACTCCTGACACACCCCGGCCTCGGCTGTCTGGTTCTGCACCTCACCTCTGCTGGAGGTCAGTGCAGCAAGTGCAGGTTTCATCTACAACCTGAGTCCTCTCCTCACCAGGTCTGAGTGCTCTTGTTCCGCCCACAATTCCTTGTATCTCTGAGCTACGGGAGGGCCTGACCCTGCCCTGACCCCACTGACCTGACTGTTCTGTCTTCTTTCCTGGCATCTAACCTACTTCAGGGCCCTGGGGAAACATGTACAGTGGGCAATAGCCTCCACCTCCACCAGCCCAGCTACTTCACAGGCCCCCACTACAACCCCAGAACCCAAACTTACAACACCAAACTCTATCGAACTCTTCACAGAAGTGACTGTACCCATCCAAGTATAACCTTCAAACCAAACTAAGCACTTCCACACACAGCTTCTACAGCCAGCTCACAAACAAACCACCATGGCCATCTAAACCTCCTCAAAGCTGCCCAAAGCTACCCAGGGCCATGAAAGACCACGCAAGGCCATCTGAGGTCACTCAAGGCTGCACAAAGCCACCCAAGATTGCCCAAAACTACTCAACACCACCCAAACTATCCAAGACTCCCCAAGGTCACTCTCAACACCACCCAAGGCCATCTGTGGCCATTCAAGATCATTCAAGATTGTTCAAGAACACCCCAAAGCCATCCAAGATCACCCAAGACAACCCCAACATCATCCAAGACCACCCAAAGCAATCCAAGGCCATCCAAGATAGTGCAAGGCCATTCACATCCCTCCTTCTGACCACAGCCCCCCCCAAAAATGCTTCTCTTCCTGGATGCTGGTTGGGTTGGCCCACTGCAAGAAGTGGCTCCAAAAAAATGCCTAAACTGCTTGCATAATTACTGCCAATAAATTAAAAATGGTCTTATACAAATAGACAGGAAATCAAAAGGAGATAACACTAAACAAATACAAAATATGTACTTTAGCATCAGCCACAAACCATCCATGACTTCCTCCTCCTCCTTGGACCCTGTAGGTGGCAGTGTTCCCTCCAGTGGTCTGTAAGACCAACATGCACATACCCAGCACTCAGGACAGATGTGTGGGTTCCACACATGCTACTCCTCCCCTGCTCGCAAGGAGATCCCGACACTTTCACAATGGTGAAGGGCACCCCAGATGGGGGCCATGTCCTGAAGTTCATCCTCCCTCATTGGCACAGGAGGAGACAGAGGCCACCAGTCCTGCCAAGACAATGGGCAAAACAGAGGTGGAACACTGGGCACTGACCTTGACAGGGGACAGGTCATCAGCGATTGATAAGCCCTTCACAGGGATGGGGGGCCAGGACCAGAGCAGAGGGGCTGAGGAGGAGGAGGAGGAGACTTCGGCAGTCAGCAGAGGTGCAGTGCTCTGAGGCAGGGCCTGTTTGTGTGACTACAGGACACACATCTGTGTCACCAGGCACACCCATGAAAGAGGCCCATCTCACTGTCTCCATGCTAGCCCACCCACAGCAAGAAGGCAGGTGGGAGGGACTGGCTCTGTGAGCTCAGAGGTACCAGCGCCGCTGCCAGGGGTGCAGGGAGGTGGTGTGGGCACAGCCCAGGGCAAAGTGCACACACACACACACACACACACACAAACACACACACACACACATCACTAGGCCAGCGGGGCAGGGGCCAACACCCAAAATCCATCCCCCAAACCTGTCACCCAAAAGCATCCTGGGGAACTCATCACAGCTTTCAAGAATGTTTATCTGAAAGGTGACTTCAGGCAGCACTCTTCCTTCTGGGTCCAAGGGGAGCTCAGGACGCTCGGGAAGCCCTTGAGGCTCAGTGACAGACACTGGCACGCACCCAGCCAGAGCCGGGAGGACACGTCCTCAGCCAGGCCCAAAACACAGGGCAAATACTGTTTTAAACCCACTGCACTGAGTCGTAAAACCTGGTTTTCACATATTTTTGGACAAATAATTTGACATATTTTATTTCTCAAAAGAACCTCACTTTACAAAATCACCAGAAAACCACTTATGAAAGAGAACCTTAAAATTAAGAATCTACCTGTAAAAACACTGTCAACTAGAAACGCTGTGATCAAGTGCAGGCTCACGCACAAGATGAGTCACTCGCTGAGAGCAGGCGCCCTTCCCGGACCAATGCGTCAGCGGCAGGGCAAGGGCTGATGGGCCTGGGCCTGCAGGGGGAGCTCTGAAGGGTGCAGCCCTCAGGTTGATGGGTCCTGGGAGAACTGGTGCACCCCGGAAGCTGAGGAAAGTGGACCGGAAGCACAGTGCCACCATCCCCCTGAGCTCAGGCCAAGGACAAGGGACGTGATGGCGTGAGGACTAGCGTGGAGGACTGGGGGTGGCTGGGCTGCTTCCTTCCTCGGAGCCACGCTGGAGAGCTTATTTTAGAGCCTCAATTTCCTGATTCCCATTGTTCCTATTGTGTAAGCTGGGGGAGGGGGTCCTGGACCAGCTCACAGAGCTCCAGGCAGCAGAGGCAGGACCAAGGCGCCCTCCACCCTAGAAAGGGCGGGTGATGCTAGGGTGGCATCTCCAGGTCCTACCTGTGCTCTGCCCTGATGTGCGAGGTCCACAGCTTACCTGTGGGAACAGAAGCCTTCACTGAGACAACCTTTGTGTCTTTATTCAAGCGAAGAGCTGCGCTACAAACACCCTCCCTGGCTCTGTGCACCTTGGCGCAGTGTTTT